TTATTTATCTAATAGTGAGGTTTAAAAATTTGTCCGGTAAAGTATAATTTAAACCTCACTATTAGATAAATAAAGACCTTAACTATTAGAAAAAAATTGAATTTACTCATAATCTAATATTTTTTATTTTACATTGGCGGCGAAAGGACCTCCTTAATTAATTCGGTTGAAACAACTATTTTTACACGTGACAATATATTCAGTAATACGTGGTTTAATCACAAATGTGTTTTATTTTTAATTAATAAAATTATTGCCATTTAAAAATACATTCCAATAAAATGTACTTGTTAAATTATTTTCAAGAAAAATAAATTTTTCACCATAAGAATTCATTTATTTTTCACCAATAGAATTAACCGATGGTAAAAATATGTAACTCCAGAAAAAAAAAATATAGTGATAACAATTGATAGAATTCTTCAACAATGTTTAATTGATCGATATTAACGAATTTTGATATTGACTCGTGTGATGGCAAAAAATAATGGGATGTTATACTTAGCCTTTCTAGCAAATGTTACCGATCACTTCATTCTTGCATGTCTAAAAAATTCTTATAACAAGCAATACAACGATTGGTGGTAAATAAATAAAAAATGACTACTAATTATTGAGGAAAAAAAACTTTTTTTTTTTTTCAATTTTTTAAAAATGATCTCTATACCGATTTGCCATTAACAGAATACGCACAGGGTGGAGCCATGAATCAAGATAGTTCTTTCCTAAGTATTTTCTTTAAGGTATCATTGTGAATTATTTTCTTTGTTTTTCTGTACTTGGAACGATTACCTTGCGCACTGTTGTACTGCAGTTTTAAAAGTATGTACATGTCTACAGTACATAACCAGAGCAGTCTTTCCTAGTATTGAGCTTCAGTGCATATACACTGAAAAGGCGTAGTCCGTGTCAGTATATATGTATGCACTCCAGGGAGAAAACAAATGAACGTCATGGACGCCTGATTCCAGTGGGAAACAGGAAACCACCGATTTCAATCTCGACCGAGCCTCGTTCGGGTTTGTCACGCTTCTACATCAAGGATGAATTTACAAACATTTTTTTTTTTTTTTACTTATTATAACGATACTTAAAATTAGAGGTTACATTTTTATCAGACGCTTTTTTGGTGTTATAATTGCAGGGTTCAAACTTGGGGCAAGAGTTATTGGACCGCGTTTTCCGTCATTTGAACCTTTTGGAAACAGCTTACTTTGGATTACGGTACTTAGATCACGAAAATCAAATGGTAAGATGATATATGTAATTTAATGAAATAGCTATATATACCGGAAGAAGGGGGAGGGGGATCGCGATAAGGGAATAAAATATACTATTCTAGAATTCGAATAACAAAAATTATTTTTCCTAATAAGAGCTTCTCCAGTGCTTGAGAATAGATTTTAACATTTTCATTATTTAAAATTTTCAAAAAAAAGTTTTTTTTTCCTAAGTGTTTTTTTTGACATTATTAACAATATTATTTTGCATTATGTATTGATATTTTCAAAATTTTTTTTTCGCAACAATACTTTCTTCTCCGTAAGTTACTTTCGTTATTATTATTATTATTATTATTATTGTTTTTTAGAATTTATTTTTTTAAAATATTAAGTTTTTGAAAAGAATTCTGTAACAATTAAACAACGAATAGTTCAACCGTAATATTTCAACTATCGACATTTTAACCGAACGACCGGTCAACCAGATAATAATTCAATCAACGACACTTCTATATCACAAGAAAAATTAACTGTTGAATCATAAAACGATCGCTTTCTCAAACTTATTGCACAGTTTAGTTTCAAAATAAATATAAAAAGATATAATGTGGAAAACAAATCATAAGTTAATTATTATTATACTAAATCACAATGATAATATTGTTACAACAAACGAACGAGCGCTTGATTTAATATTATAAATTACTGAGATGTAGCAAATAATGTCCAACTATTTTGTTTTATAATCTTTTTTATTTTCATGATTGATTAAATAAATAAAATTTATTTTACGGAATTGTATAAAAATATTTAAAAAATGCAATGAATTAATTAAATAGAATAATTTTTATCTTTTATCGGGGGGTCTTGCCCCCGAATCTCCACCCGGGCTCCTTCCTGGATCCCCTTATTAAGGTGCCCTTTTATCAGGAAAAAAATAACAGGGAAAATTGGTGATTCAATTGTCGGGAATATTTTGTCATGGGGATAACGTAAAAAATAATCAATAACAACCGGTTGAAATATCATCGGTTTAATAGTCGCGGCATCTTTAAAAAGATATCAAACATAAAAAGATAGATTTTTACTAACTGTTGAACATTATTTTTTAATGTAATTCTTCTCTTTTTATACCCAGAATAAGCTGTATTTATTAATTCTAATTAATAATTTTTAAAAATGACAAAGTTTTTTATTAATAAAAAAAATTTTCTTGACTTCAGAAAGTTTTCGCTTCAATTTTAATAGTCGCGTAAACATTTTTAATAATAAAAAACAATTATGCTTCAATCAAGAAGTTTTCTTTTTCGTGCATAGTTTCTTAATTTTATATATTTTTTTAAATTGAATATTGAAAAATTGTATGGTGTTTAAAAATTTTTAATGTTTAATGAGTAATATCAATTTCAGCATATTTGAGTTTCAAAAACCTTTGTTAAGTATCCCAATTTGTCCTTTTCTTCCTCTCCTGATATTTAGTTGCTAAATTGAAAAAAAAAAAATTTCTTTAATCGCCACATCCTGATGGCAGTCTAACTCAAATTGAATTCACCCTTTCAAATTGATTCCTCTGATCGTAAATCCTTGCTGGCTTATGAAATGGCGCGTTGTCGATAACTTCAATGCGCCCGCGGGGAATTTTACATCCGGGGTGGGGATCATTGAGTAACGGGAAACTTTAGATTCGCGTAATTTCCGTTTAGTCCACACTATGTGCATGAAACATTTATCAAACAGTTTATTTTTTTGACAAACTTATAATAATAAAAATAAATTTTTTGCAGCAATGGTTAGATCCAAGTAAAAAAATTGGAAAGCAATTGAAAATTCGTAAGAATGATTCGACGCAAGATACTTACACCCTTTATTTTGGTGTTAAATTTTACGCCGCTGATCCTTGCAAGCTCATAGAGGAAATTACAAGGTGAGATAAGTACACAATTGCATATAGGTTCGTTATATTCGTAACGTTTTCGATTGCAAGTTTAAGAAAAAGAAAGAAATAAATAAAATAAAAAAGAGAAAAGGAATGCGACTTATGTAGGATTGCAGGCCTCCAGCAATCTTCTAAGTTTAAAAATTCGCTCACTGCTTACCAACCCGCAGGACTCCCGAAGTTGCTTCCAAAACCCAGCAATTAACGGAACGCACCAATTACCTTCAGTGTAAAAGGGGTAAATTATAGAGTATCCTCAGCCTATGGCTTTGAATTCATTGCTTCAGATCTCCTTCCACGCGACCCGCGAATTATTCTCCGCGCAATATGTACGATGCTTTGGGCTTCGGCCTCCAACAAACCTTAATTGCAGAGAAGCCATCAATACTGGTTTACTTTTTTTGAGAGCTCCATCAATCGATTTTTGACTATTTTAACTAATTCCTTTTTGTGAGAAAAATTTATTTGTTCATCTAAATGTTTCTTAAATTATTATATTTTTTATTATATTCCAGGTATCAATTCTTCCTACAAGTTAAACAGGATATTTTCCATGGCAGGTTACCAGTCTCTTTTGATCTAGCTGCTGAATTAGGTGCTTATGTAGTCCAATGTAAGTAAGACGTATCTTTATCAGATTGTTATATAAAAATATTTAATAACTCAAAAATTTCAAGAAAAATCTAATAATCTTTAAAACAATAAGTTTATTCAATTGCTACGGTAATGGTCTTATCTAACTGATTTATTGAAGAGATATTGCCAGCAATAATATTTTCCTTAATCACTTAAATCACAAACAACTTATTAATAAAGAATTAAATAAATAAAAGCTTCCACTTAAAAATATTGTTATACTTTCATAGAAAAAAAAATCCCTTGAAAGATCAGTTCTCAGTTTGAATTTTAAGTGATTTATTTGCTATTTAAATAGGAAAAATTCAATAACTAAAAAAAAGTTCTTGAAGTTGAAATTAAGAGCTCATTTTTCGGATAAATTTTTTTTTCATGTAATAAGTACCAAAAGTTAAAAGTTATGTCAGCGAAGAACAAAATATATTCGTTTTAAATAAAAGCACCCTATTTATTCAGTTTTATTTTTAAACTCAATGTTTTATTTCAGATAACATGTTTGATGTAATAATTAGAATTATTGTGAGATAAGACCTTAAAAAAAGTTTTATTCGTGCATAATACAAACTTCAGAAAGTTTGATAGTAGCTCACAGTAAATTTAGTTTTATGATTGAATGAATGTGACATGTATTATTCAATGATACGAAACATGTGATATAGTAATTACAAAAGTAAAAAAAAAAATGATAATATATATATATGGACAGAAAAAAAAAAAGATTAAAGGGAAAAAAACAGAAAGCATTACATCTACAGAAAGCTTCTAGTTACACTTATCAACTAGGAGATTCAAAGTCTTTTAGCAAATAGAGATACGGCAATGTTTGCGTCTCATAGCGCATCAAAAGATATAGAATGAATAGTGTCCCGTTGCATCATTTGGAACCGGTCGGTAAAACTTGCTGGATTACTCGCAATGTTATCTCAAAGACTCTTAGACCACACTGCCAAGAAATAGAAAAATAAAAAATTTACTAAATTCTAGAAGTGTATAAACGGAAAAATGTTCAGTACCGGGTTTTATAGTCTCTTCATTCATTAAGATAAGGCTATATTAACTTAGATGAAAAACTATTTGCGATTAAAAACGATGAGTAAATAATAAATCATGCATCCTTTATTTACCTACTGTAAATTCATTGTTATTTATCACTTTTCTCTATGAAAATTAAAAATTTTCGAAAACTCAGAAAATTATTCATTGAATGAAATACTGATTAACTATTTCCGACATGTCTAAAAATTATTGACTCTACGATTTTATGATTATTCATCATATTGTTCATCAAATTCTAATTATTAATCACTCGATTATATTACAAGTTAGGTATAAAATATCATTTAACTATTAATTTAAATACCTCTGCCAAATCGAAAAAGATAAAGTTTCAAAGTTATCGATTTAGTATGGGATGCTTCCAATATTATAATTATATTAACATCATCATTCGCTTTATGGTGAATAAATAAATATCTTATATCTTGCTTTTTAAAAATATAAGAAAATTCGATAAATTTTAATTATAAATAAACTCTGCCAATTATATTCATTTAATTGAAGTTAAAAAATGGCTGTTTTTTTCCGTCACTGGCTGAACAGTTCATTGATATGATTAAAAAATTTCCTTTTGAGTAGATTTCATGAAAATCTAACTATAGTATGTAGTACTCTATTTCTTTAGTTTTATAATTTATTCAAGTTATAACTATACTCTTTACAATATTCGAATGAAGTTAATTAAATCTCACAATAAATAATCAATCCCGTAGAATATAGTTATCAGTAAATGATACAATAGATAGTTCGTGTATAAATAATAATGTCAAGATAGTACTTCGCGATTACAATAATACGATAAGTAACATAAAGGAAAATAGGACCAGTGTCCTAGACCGTAGATGTGTGTATCTCAGAGGCTGAG